GGGGGGGGGGGTTCGAATGAAAGTATCGGATAAAAGTGGGCCACAAGATAGACAACGATGGGTACATCTGAAAAATAGTAGACTTGTGCGATTAAACCCACCGGAATTTCGGACAAAATCGGGCAAACCTGTGAGGCCTTGTGCGCCGTGGCGGTGTGTGCTGTAAGGACGTGCCCGAAAGTCCGTAAAAGTGATGTTGATGCCGTGCATGAGGCTTGGTCGTGTCTTCTGCGGGCTTGGCCGTGTTCTCAAGGCATCGGAATGACATTTTGGGTGGTTCGGTCCTGTTACGAATGGTCTCCGCAACGCAAATATTCGAGTGCCCACATTTTTCCGAGAAAGAGGTGGGTGTACCCATTTTTGTGTATTTCCCTTGGGGTAATCTACCTGGTATGTTTTACAGATCAAACATGAGAGAGGGAATACAAGCAGCGGATTACAGCAATGCGGTCTGTGGCAAAGAAGTTGCTACCCTACGTGCACAAAACGCAGCCATCTTGTTAATAAATCAGGAAACGTTTCCACCAGCATCGATGTTTTGTACGGAAATCACCAGTACCGAACAGTTGGGCTATACACCAAACCGTGATGACATTGACCAAGTCGACTTGCGTCACCGCCGCGAGGCGAATCACCAAACTCCTGAACGGGAGTCTCGACGCTCGACGTCAAAAACACTGGACGTCAGCGATGCTTGGGATGAACGATTCTCGACTTTAGCGATGCTCGACATTGAACTGTCCTAAACGATGCACGACGATACTAGATGTCAACAATGATCAATGTACAATGGTCGATGTCAGCCATTCTCAAGATCAACGATCCCTAGACCCCAACGATCCTCAACGATCCTCAGCATCAACGGTTCTTTGATGTCAACGATCCTCAACGTCAACGATATTTTGATGCCAACGATCCTCAACGATCCTCAATATCAATGATGCTCGTTGTTAACGATGCTCGTTGTCAACGATCTCCCACGATCCTCAGCGATCCTCGGCATCAAAGGTCCGTAGACGCTACCGGTCCTCAACATCAACGACGCTCGTTGCCGAAGATCCTCAACGTTCCTTTGAGACCTTTCTTCATCGATCCCCAAGATCAACGATTATTTGACGTCTACGATCCTTGGATGCCAAGGACCTCAAGATCAATGATGCTGGGCGTCAAGGATCCTTCACGATCCTCAACCTTCTTCAACGATCCTCAACGATCGTTACTCGTCGGCATTAACGATCCATTGATGCCAACGATCCTCAACGATCCTCGTCATCAATGATCCTGAACATCAGCGGTACTTTCATGGCAACGATCCTAACGATACTCAACATGAAATATATTTTGATGCTAATGATCCTCAACGATCCTTCACACAACGATCCTCGACGCAACGACCCTCAATGATGCTGGACGTCAACGATCCTCAACATCAGCTATGCTCGACATCAACGTTGTCAACAATCTTCAGCATCAGCTATGCTTAACATCAACGTTGTCAACGATCCTCAGCATCAGCTATGCTCGACATCAACGATCCTCATCATCAACGATGGTCGGCGTCACGACATTCGTTCATGCTTGGACGTTAACGGTTCTCAAAATCAACGATCCTCAACATCATTGATGCTCGACGCCAACGATCCTCATCGATCCCCAACATCGAATCAACGATCCCCACCCTGGACGATCCCCTACACGTCAACGATGCTCGGCGTCAACGATGCGAGACGATCCTCGACAATTTTCGGCGCTGCCGATGTCAGCGATGCTCAACGACCCTCGACGTCAGCGATCCTCACTCTCAACGATCCTCGACGACCCTCGACACTAACAATCCTCCGCGTCAACAATGATCTCTCAACAATGCTGAAAGACCCTCGACGCCAACGTTTGTTTGACGATACTCAACGATCATCGATCCTGACGATGCTTAACACTTGAGAATGCTCAACGATCCTCGACGCCAACGATGCTTGACGCTCCTCGACGTCGATGATCCTCAGCGTCAACGATCCTACTCAACGATCCTCACCGTCAACGATACTCACCCTCAACTTCTCCTCGATACCAACGATCCTCGGCGTCAACTACTCACTATCAACAACCCTCACCCTCGACGATGCTCACCATCGGCGATCCTGACCCTCAACCATCCTCGACGCCAACGATGCTCATTCTCAATGGTGCTCAACGATCCTCGATGTCGACGATGCTAAACGATGTGCAACGATCCTCACCGACGTCAACGATGCTCTCAACGATGCTCTCAACGATGCCTCCTGGACGACTCTCGACGCTAACAATACTCAGCGTCTGCTTAACGATGGTCAACGATCCTTGACGCCATCGATGCTCGCAGTCAACGATACTTGATACTGAAGACGGTGAATCCCAACGACGCTCGAAGCACGGTCAACGATCTTTGATGCTAACGATTGTCAACAGTACCGATACTCGACGCCAAAGGATGCTCGATATAGACTTGCATACGATTATGTCGGAAGCATCAGACGCAAGATTTCAACCATTGTTGCACTCTAGAAGCAAGACGTTTTTTTTCGGTGAATCAGTTCGCGGTCGCCCTGAGACTTTTTTTTTCGCCGGCTGTTGCCCGCTGCAGCGGGCCAGTCTCTGGATCACGGCGCCCCTGTCGCGTGCTCGAACCTCCGAAGGCGAGTAGAGTTACAGCACGGTGAATGCACGCAACCACTATTTCAGTCATATAGCTAGACATTGCGGTGCGGTAAACCGATTTTGATTGTTCGTAGATGGAGGTTAAACATTTTTTTCGGCCGTGTTCGCCGACGTGGGCGTGCCAATCTGACGATCACAGCGCCCCCGTCGCGAGCTCGAGACTCCAAGAGCGAGCCGAGTTACAGCACCGTGAAGTACGACTAAAGTCTCCTGCATCCGGGCACGTCTACGCAAGGGACTGTGCCTCTAAAAAATCACACAGCTCATTGGACGAGATTTGGGAGAACGTCAAATCATTAACCATGACCGACCACGTTGCTTTTACTTGGAGCACCGGCTGTGGATTTCATTGTTATTGTGCCGCGTGTTCTCAGCTAGATATTGACAAGACTGCTGTCCATATGTGGCATGTATGTGTTGTAGGTGGTGTCCCCACGCTCACTTAACTACTTCCAAGTTCTCACATGCATCGTGTATCCTCACGTGCACACGGTAATGCACGTATGCCTGAAATACACACAACACAACACACACCCTCCAATGCAAGTACAGGTAGGTCTAGACTTTTGCTGTAGGAAGGAATTGAGCAGGGTTAGTTTTTTCATTTCTGTTGTGGTACGCCAAAGCTGGCTGTTGTGCTTTGAGTTTCGAACATGATGCATGCACATCTCACGGAGCTGCAAGTTTGTTTGTCGACGCTGTTACAGTAGTAGTGAAGGTGCTGCCGTGGCCTACACTCTATGACGTATACAGACAGGTCAACGGTAGAGAGTTTACGCACGGTTGTGCGGTATGCCAACACAAGTACGTAAAATCACTGCCTGTTTTTCACAGGTCAACGCTAGATAAAGATCAAGCTTCAGTCATACTACCATGCACATTTCGTGGATACCACGATCATGTAGTGGAATATTTCCTAGAAGTTAGTCAGCAAAGCGGGAAAGCATGACCTTTTCGTGGAAGTCTTAGTTGGTCTGCATAATATATAGTCCGAGGCAAGGTCGCAAGCACAGGTCTGCTGCTTTAGGAAGGAGTTCGGACAGGGTGTGTTGTTGTTGTTGTTGTTGTTGTTGTTGTTCGCCACAGCCCTTTTTTCAGAAAAGCTTTCACTTGTGCTTGGAGTTTTCGAACATGCATTGCATGCACATGTCACGGAGCTGCAAGCAAGTTTGGTTTGTTTGTCTTGTGTTATACTGTCAACGACACTGTAGTGTTGGGGGGTGCTGCGGTACAGCCTATACATCATCATTACAGCTTTTTTCTGCCCTTGGTATGCTGTGCTCAGTGTTCACCCACCACCCTTCCTTCCAGCGTAATGCTGAGCTGAAGGCGAGGGCGCCTAGCACCCGAGCCTGGAGGCCTTGTAAATGGTACTTTGATGCCAATGATCCTCAACTTGAACGATGTCGTGATGCCAGTGATCCTCAACGATCCTCAACGATACTTGGTGTAAACATCCTCAACACCTGATGTCCCTATGTCTTCCTTGCCTCTACCGGTTTCTCTCGCTCTCTTTTGGTTTGTGGGGTTTGCCTACGAAGATTCACTCCGCTCTGCCTGAAGGAAACGTCGGCGAGATATGGGTGACGAGCAAGTCCAGGGCTGCCGGGTACTGGTCTCAGCCGGAGAAGACTGCCGAGGCCTTTGGGGGTCGTCTCGCCAACGATGGAGACGTGAGAGGGCGCGTGTTCGTGTAGTGTGTACTGTTGTGGGCGCTTGCCTCAAATAGTAAGCGTTTTGATCGATACCGAGTGTTGTTGATACTGTCACGCAAGTGGTACCTTATCATGACTGGTGTCTGCCTGTCGGCTTTTTTGTAGCTGTAGACAAGAGTTTCAGGTGTTCGTTTCTTTCTTGTGGGTTCCCTCTTATCTTCGAAAGGTGTGTCGTCTATGGTTTCCTTTCAATTCCAGCTCGTACATGAGGTGATGGTGGACTGGTGCGCATTGTATGATGCCTTGGAAGCGGGGGGGTTGTGGGTGCGCTAGTGATTGCACGCAGGAATGTTCAGAAGAACGAATCCAGCAATATTTTGTTACCATCGCATGCTTGACAAGGGCGTAGTGTGACTGGGAACGATGGAAACTCATACCCCAGCTCCGCTTCTTATGCGACGATGACCTCTCAACGCTTGAAAGGGACCCGCGCCTGCAGCCGAAGGGTCCGTTGGACACGGTGCCCCTGTCGACGGATATCTCAAGACCGGCGACCTCGGCTTCCTGTGGGAGGGCGAGCTGTACATCTGCGGGCGTATCAAGGACCTGATAATCGTTCGGGGCCGCAACCATTACCCCCAGGACTTGGAAAGGACGGCCGAGGGGGCTGTGGCGGGGTCGGTGAGAGGAAGGGAGGAAGGGATTGAGTGGGTTGGGCAGGAGTCAGGTGCACGCCGGCGGCCTAAGGGGCTCGAGTGCATCTCATACAAAAAAAAATCCACAGGGCAACGAAGCAGTGCGGACCCTTCCACTCCCGGAGTATTCGAGGGGCAAGCCCTTGCAACGGTCTTGACTTGCGACGTGTTTGATATCTGCGAAGCTACCGGCGGAGCACGCTGACATTAAGTTCCGCCAATCCGTATCGAGTTCTTGCCTGGATCGTATGCAGAGCTTGTGTCTGCGCATATAAACCACGCTTATTGTGCGCAATTTATATGAAAACTACCAATGAGCGTAAGATGTTTACTCACTGTACCTGTCTCCCCGTACTCGGAATGATGTACCCCACTTCCCTTGACACACGCCTACTCCGTCAGCTCCGTGGAGGGTGCAGTGCGGCGTTCGGCCTCGCGGGCGCCGATGGGGGTGAGAGCTTGGCGATAGTGGCCGAGGTGCAACACGTGGGGGCAAGGTTCGACGGCCAGGCTCTGGCGGCCGAGATTCGGAAGGTGGTGGCCGCCGAGCACGGGGCGTCGCTGGCGATGGTGCGGCTGCTACGACCGAGGTTGGTTTGGCTGACGTTGAGGCATGTGTATCACCTGGTCGATAGTACGCCTGAAGAGATTGTTAGCACCATGCGTTGTTGTCAGTGTAGTTGGCCACACAAACAGTTTTTTTATTTTCCGTTTGGTTGACGAAGCTGCTGATCAAGCCTTTCCCACGAGCAACAAGTATTGTGTGTGCCGAAAAAGCCCCCCACCCGGTCCCCAAAAAGTACATGTGCCGTTGACAACCCATGCAACCAAAATGACAATGACAATCACAATGACAAATCAGGACCATTCCCAAGACGACCTCCGGCAAGATTTCCCGGACCATGTGCAAGAAGGCTCACGCGTCCGGCGCCCTCGACGGCGACACGGTCTTCCTCTGGGGCGACGACCGTATGGCCAGCCACCTCTCCTCGGCGCCCGGCACCGCCAAGGACCAGACGACCGTCGCTGAGATGGACGCGCAGGCGGAGAGGGACGAGACTGGGGGCAGCGGCTCCAGCGCGGCGGGCACGGAGGAGTCCAAGTCGTCGGGCGGCGGGAAGGGGTGCCCGGCCGACATGACCGTCGCTGACATCCTGAAGGGGGTGCAGTCCGAGGTCGCCAAGATTCTCAAGGCCGATGCTTCGGCCATTCCCATGGTGAGAGGCGAAAAGAGTGCGACTGCTGCGTGACGTTTTTTGTTTTGTCTGGGATGTGGATGGCGGGCAGAGAGGGAAAAGTTGGGACCTATGACCGCAACATGTGCAGAAAGAGACGCTCCTTTATATCTGAGAAGTATTCCGAGAAAAGTTGGGGCGTCGGGAGGACACCGATTGATCCATGTATTCCATTTTGCCACCATATGGTACGGAAAGATGGATTGGTCCCGTGAGGGCTTTGTGATCCTATTTCTCGTTGGTCCTCTCCTCCCTGACAGCCTGACAGAGGACTTGCTTGCCCTCGGTAGCGGACCCCGCCTACGCTCGTTCGTTCGAATAGAAGGAGCCTCGGGAATCCTGGCGGCAAGAATACTTGGTTGTTGTTTGAATATTTAGCGGCACCCCGTAGCTTCTGACGGCTGTACATCAACACCAATCCCGTCTCCCTCTTGTCTCTCTCTCCCTCTCTCTCTCTCTCTCATTTGGTGGGACCAAACACCAGGACGCGCCGCTGGCCACGCTTGGATTAGACAGCATGGAGGCCATGCAGCTTATGTCTCTGCTGGAAGAGAGGTTCTCGGTGAGTTGCGGCGGATCTCCTCTTGGCTTATTTCTCGAAACCCACGGCAGTGTTGATAACGTTGACGTATAAATTGAGGCCGATCACGTGGAAATCTACCATGTGTTGCGCGTGGAGATACTTTTGTCCTGCACCCGGTCGTGTCCACCTCCGCCAATGCTAACTATGGACTTGCGCTCGGGGACTACAGTATCGGTACCTAACTTATTGACGATTGATGGAGTCTCTTATCCTATTTGAAATTCCAGTTCGTTTGCAACTGTTTTGTCGAACGCTCCGTGAGTCCTTCGTACTCATTTGCGCACGGCTATCTACTGCTCCCGCTGCAACCTGGTTTTGCGATTTGGGTTGTGTCTTACGTACTCAGGTGACAATCCCAGATGAGGTGATGTTCGAGCCGGACACGACGCTCATGACGCTGGCTCCCATCATCAAGGCCGGCGGAGTCGTCCCGGAAAGGTATGCAAAGACATAACGGTGGGGACGGTGATGGTGATGGTCAGGACTGGTGATTTGGACGGTGACAATGTGGTCAATTGGTCATCTCGGGTCACGCATGATGTTTATTACCCATGCCATCTCGAGGTCTTTTTATCATTTCAAAAGATTTGTTAACTAAATACAGAAAAATGTATCTAATGCTTTCTGTTTAGTTCTTTCTTGGGTTTTTCGAAGAAAATTTTCTCATGTGGAGGATATGCTTGGTTCACGATGGTGAGTGGTCCCGTGTTGTCGAGGAGGACTGCCAAGGCTTGCGATCTTGCGATGCTCAACGCGAATTGTTCCTGACACACAAACGCGTTTTTCTCTTCATGTATTTGCCTCCCCGCATCTACTCCTGCCGACCCCCACTCTGCTTCGTGCGCCACGGCAACGAGCAGAGCGAGGGCCATCGACTGCGGCTTGCTGGCTGCAATGGAGGCCAAGGAGGGCCCTCCCAAGGGTTACATGGCGGAGGAGACGGTGCAGAAGATGCAGACCCGCCGGCTGACTGAGTGCTCCTTCAAGACCCAGCTGGGGACGGGCAAGTTCAAGGAGGGCTGTCTCTCGGAACAGGTGAGCCAAATAGACGATCCCAACGGTACAGGTGTGTTGTGTGCATTATCTTACCAGTGCCACTTGTTGACAATAGTGCGAACGTGAGAAGTTCACGTAGGGCGGAGTGGGTTTGGCCACGCGAGAAACAGGAATAAGATCGTGTGTGGCGGATGTCTGGTTGATTTGTTGCGCCTGCGACTTAGCGAGGGGCTTGAACGAACAGCCGTTGGAAGTTGAGATGGATCGTAGGAAAGGCCGGGAATAGGCCGCACGGGCGGGGAGGGCGGTACAGAGCAAGCGCAGGGACAACAGCTTGAGGCTCGAGCTTAAGGGTTTTCGACCCCGTACAATACACCGCTCGCTCAGCCATACCCAATGTGCTTTGCCACTTCGCATAGCATATCCCCACATTCACCCGAATATCATACCCCCCCCCTCTTACCCCTCCCCGGCCTTGCCTCCGTCTCATTCGACAGGCGGAGATGAGCACAGCGGATGTGGTGCTGGTCAGGTCTTTCTTTTGCCTGTACGCGGCAGTGGACGTTTTGACGCCCCTGTTCCTGGCGGGGTTGTTGCTGCTGTCTCTGGCGCCGCTCGCCGCGCTGCTAGAGGAATCGCAGTCACAGGCAGCGGTTCCGGTGCTCTCCTCGGTGGTGAAGCGCTTGTTTGTCCTGTACGTCGTCTGTGTCAAGGGGACGGCCTTGGTGAAGAGCTGTGAGTCAGGGAGATGAGAGAGAGCACACGTTTGTGTTCCATGTGACGTATCATACGGTGTTTGTGCGAAAAATTAGCGAGCCAACCAACCGCGGTGCCCAATTTTTTGGCTTGTGTTCTCAATCACCATCACGTTAGTGGATACACCTTTCCCTCTCTTCCTTTTCGGTTTATCGCGCACACCAACGATGGTACTTTTTTCTCTGTTGAGTTTTTGGCGTAAAGGAAAACCGTTCAGACTGCGTTCAGTCTGGTCGTGGCTAGCGCTGGGTGTGAGTTTCTTCTCGGCCGAAAGCTTCAAGGTTTTTCCCATTTTATGTTCGACGCAACTTGATGAGTGTATCGCTTTCGCACATGAAACTGAACGAAAACAGACAAGAGAAGAGGTTGCCCATTTCAAGTCACAGGGAATGAGCTCTCGCTAGACACCCCCGCCCACCACCCCCCCCCCCCCC